TCTTTGAGAATTGAATTCATTTTCTCTTTAGTGCATCAGCTATGTATTTCTGAAGTACTGCAAGCTCTGTTTCTAACAGATTATAGATTGACATAAATGATGATTTCTTCTCTTTCTTCAAATCTATGATGTGTTCTGCATTTAATGATCTGAATGAACTGATGATGTTTTCTTTCAAGAAGATGTGTGTGTAGAATATAAGATAGTCAGAAAATGTCAATGCAGTATTCACAACATTTACATCATTAATTACAATGTCAGTATTATCTTTAAAGAAACTTTGTCCATTTGACACAATATAATCAGACATTTCTGATGCAGATTTTACAATGTTTATGCTGTAGAGTGTGCTGATATCTCAATTATTATCTCTGATGAGAATTTCATTAATTAAAATTATATAAGTCTGAGTTTCTGTAATAACTTCTGTCATAGTTTTTTCAGTTGAGATAATCTCTAAATCTTGAAGATTTTCAGAGATGTTTTGTCAATATGTTTAAATGTTCTTCTGTCAATTAATTAGAGAATTAATTTTTTTAAGTCAAGAGTAGTCTAAGATCATATTGTAATTGATTAGATTAACACTCTCAAACTCTTGACTTATTGATTGTGTAATCCCATTACTGTCAGTTACACTGACAGCAAGATGATGAATTTCATAGATGCATATCTTATGTTCATTAATTGCTTTGACTAGCTTGAGAGATTTTCTGTTGTTAATCAGTCTCTTTAACTTAATTTAGTATCACTCAATAAAGTTTGCTTCTACTTCTGAATTTATTAAGATCAGAACTGTTTCTTTCTCTGTTTCTGATTAAATTTATATTGTGATCAGAAAAGACATTGAACTTTACTGCTTTTTACATAAATCTAGAATCATTGTGATTTTAATAAACTCTTTTACTTATTTTTTGACATAGTGTCTGTCAGTTTCTGCTTCTTTGAAATTAAGTAATTCTCAGTTGCATGCTCTTTTTGCTTGTGAAAAGTACAATATGATACTGATTCATTATTAAATTTGTGCTTTTCACTGCTTTTGTTCATCAAGAAATTATTATATTCTGAGTTTTGATTTATTTTATTGTTTCATGACTTGCTCTTTTTCTTTTCTTTATAGTAGATTTTGCTACTATCTTTCTGATGAAAGAAGAATGAAGAAAATGTCTTGAATTTTGACTTTCTGTGTTTTTCTGAGATGTTTCTCTCTGCAGTGACAAGTCTCTATATCAGTGTGTTATAGTTAAGTGCATCAAAATTATTAGCATATTTATTATATTCAGCACATACTTTACTGAGCTTCTTTAAATAGATATGTGACTTTTTCTGATGTTCATCATATTTATGTTTCAGTCTGTGCTTCAGAATTTCTAATTACATGATAAAGTTATGCATCTTTTAATTTTTCTTCTGCATCAGTGTCAGATATTTACATTCTGCATCTCTAAGAGTGCATTCTGAATGCACAATTTAATGTTTCAATTATGTTTTTAAGTATTTTCATTAGTTTCTTTTCTCAGAGTTCTTAAAATTATGTGATCACTTAATTAATAACTTTAATTTAAAGTGTTGAACAGCTTTCAACATTTTGTGTTTATTATTGTTCTTGAAGTATTTCTCTTAATAGAGATGAAAGACTTCAGAGACAGTGATAAACTCTATTAAATTCTCAAAATTCTGAACAATGAATTGTTTTTTCACTTTTTGAATCAGAGTGTGCATGAAATTCATGTCTTTTGCACTTTTATTATCAAAAGAGTTCTCTCTTTGCACTTTCAGCATTATTGTTTATGTGTTCATTGCACTGTTAATATTCTTCATAGTTAATTTTAAAGAAATCAGTTGTGTTCTGAATGTTAAATTGAGAAAAGATATTGAGAATATTGTTTCTTGATTTCATTCTGCTTCTTTTTTCAGTGAAGAATTGTTGAAGATTTCATTATTATTAATAAGATTTTTCAATCTTTGAATCTCTTGTTTTTTTTTAATGAGATTGAGCTTTGTCTCAAGCTTTATGATAATTTAATTATCATTATGAAGAAGATTCTGAACTGTAATGTTCTTTTTTTATTTTAAAATGACAGTTTCTGATGTCTGTTCTTTTGAAGTTGCTCTCTCTGAGATGTCAACATTTATTGACTTACTTAAAGCATTAATTAAGTCTTTAACTTATACTACTGATGTTTTTTAATTACTCATTGAAGAAGTCTCAGCTATAGCTTCTGATGCTATAGTTTGACTCATCTGTTTCTCTTAAAAGACAGTGATAGAGACTTCAATCTGTGAATTATTATCAGAAATTACATTCTGTTATCTTTTTCTGATTTCACTTCTGATTTCAGTCATTGTATTCAACAGCATGAAATTGTCTTTGTTGTTGCATAAAATGTGTTAAATTTGAGAAGATAGAATAGAAAGAAATTTTCTTACTAAGTAGCTTAATGAACTGTCTCATATTGAAGCAATGAAAACTGTAAAGTGACAGTCTATAAAATAGATGTTAAAGAACAATGTATCAAGTCTACAGTGTAAGAAAAATAACTAAGTTGCACTTATAGTATTAAAGTAGTATTGCTATATGCACAGTAAGAGAAGAACTTATTACTGATCTTGTGTGAAAGAAGATCAGTGTGACTTTAGATACTGATGAGATTAGAACTATACTAACTAATATGATACTAGCTCTTAGTACAGATCTAGTCTACAGTGGGCATGACAATTGGCAGGCTGTAGAATTACTATGCCAAAACAGTACACATGCAGACAGGCTGATAGCTTAGTAATTAGAGAGTTTAGTAATTACACAACTGATTACACAGTGCACAGACTGATTACTAAGCTCTGGCGCGCGTAATGCCAAGACTTTTCGAATGCACTAGACTATATTGGGCCTAGTATGATAACTTGCACTGCTAAAGTTAGACAGCATCTTGGCATAACTTATATAGCAACACAGATTATAACACAGTGTCACACACTAATCTATCTCTGTATAATCACTAGTTATACCAACTTTCTATATATATATATATAATATATATATATATATATACATCTACATATACATCTACATCATAGATTTTTCAGTTTATAGAAAGTATTAGCTACTGAATCAGAATTTATAAAATGTCTCATATAATAATCAAACTGATTATTGACATCTTTTTGAAATCTCAATGAAACAAGACTGAATATTAATCTCAATTGAGTTGATTTCAATCTCTTTTCAAAATTTAAAAATTAGTTTCAAGTTCATCTTAAAATATGAATAAAAGTTCCATTCTCTTCTCAGTTTCAAATTTTCTATATTATGTTCCATCTCTAGATTTTTCTATCTCTAACACAACTTTAATTTTTTTTCAAACTTTATTTTGAAAGTGTATTTTTACATCAAAATATGACAAAATAGAAAAATTGACACATTAAGTTAAAATGCATATATACATTTATATATGATTTTGATACTAAAAATAGTATAAAATAAGATTTTATTTTAAGTTTAGAGAAATTGAGAATCTCTATCTCTAATTAAATAATTTTAATCTCTTTAAATTAAATTTCATTCCCATCTCAATACTTGAAACTTAAGTTTCAGTTTCATTTCAGTTTGAACTATCAAGTTTCAGTCCCATCTCAATTTTCCATTAGTGTATTTATTAGAGATGGAATTCCAGTTGGAAAATCTCTGTCCCTGCTGCAGTCTAATAATAATTCAGTTTTCTAAAAAGTAAAACTACTTTTTACAAAACTATTGCAAGTATTGCATAATATACAGCATCATACTGCATCAAGATAAATATGTCATAACTTACATAACTCAAACTCTAAACTCACAGTCTATAAATAAGATTAAAACTTTCACTGCAAAATGTAATTAACAGAACAATTCAATAACTTTTTTAAATATTTATTGACTATTTCTTCTATATTAATATTTTCTGAACTTTATTATCACTGTTCTCACTCTACTCATTCATCAAAATCTTATATATAACTATATACTTATATATTTATATATATTTATATAGTTATTAGTAAGTATATTCTACTAACTAAGCTTTTCTTGTATGAGCTTCTACTGCACATTAACTTGCTCACAGATACTTTCTATAAATCTAAATATCTATGATGTAGAGATATAGAAAGTTGATATAATTAATTATAAAACTTATTAAAATTGATTATAATGTACAATAGTTTATTAATTTTAAAATTAAACTATACAACATTAAATTTTATAATGTTATTAATAATCTTATATTATAATATAATTCATCATCTTAATTTATTATTATTTTATTGATTAATAATCTGCAAGCAATACTATGATAGTAATCTTATTGCTGTAACTCTATTAGAAAGTTTGAAATACACTTTTAAAATTTAATCTAATCTCAAAAAGATTATAGATCAAACTTTATATTTAATCAAGATTTATGTATATCACTCAGTATATATAGAAGTTATACATGTTATACACATGTTATATAAAACAATATATAGTATATAAATTTGATTATATTTGAGAATGTTATATTCTCACAGAAGGTGTAGTTGTAATTTTGTGAGAAGTTGGGTGAGATTGGGCGTTTGGTGTGGAATTATGTTCCATAACAGCTCGGAAAATCGGTAACCCGATGGTAGCGCAAAGATCCAGGATTCCGGTATGGTCTTTGTTCGCCCCATACCTATCTAACTACTTGAAGGCGGAAAGAGCCGCATCTATTCAGACCGCCTCCTTTTTGCCAGTATTTAGATTATCATTGTCATCTGTCGAAGGTGGCCAGGCGGGCCTTCATTAGATATTTTTGTGATTTAAGGTAGAGGGCATACAGGTATGTAAGATTTCGTAAGGCATTAATCTGGTCATATTGCATGTGTCGGCGAGCTATTGACTCGAGAATTTTACAGCCCTTCCTACCTACTTAAGCGATACTAACTCCGTCTTTTCCAACCAGACTCCGCGTTACTGACGTACTTTATATCGTTATATCCAGGTTGGAATGGGCCGAAGACCTAACGCTATCGTTTCGGAATTCTTCAATAGAGGAAATAAGCTCCCTGATTCGAGCAATCGCTATGAACACACTTGCAAGCTATGCGGGGAAAGTTTCCCAAAGGGTAGACCGGATAGCCTTCTAACCCATTTAATGAAAAACTGTCAGGCGATATCCTTCGCAGATAAACAACGAGTACTTCATCTCTCTCGCGTATCTATAGGAGCTGGCTCCAGGCAACTCTCAACAAACGGCCAATCCGATATCGTGCCTAGGAATATCTCTCTAGATACTACTAGAACTGCTTCTTTTAACAGTGTTGGAGGCCTCAATGGCTTGAATGTACTTGCTGAGGCATCTCGGCGAGTCGGTGCAACCGACGAAACAGGAGACGCCCAGGAAAATACCCATAACGATAAGACCATTGTTGTAGACCCAACTTTAGAACACTCTGGCAATATTATAATCGGTAAGAACCTATTATAATCGCTCAACAGATATTATGTGACTGATAGGGGGCGCATTGCATAGACTTCGAGGATCAGTTCACGGCCTCCCCAAATCAAACCCCCCAGTTATTACCTGTTCATGTTAAACTCGCCCCGTCTGCCCGATTCACGGGTCCAGGACTATCCTTAGGTACAGATACTCTAGCAGACATACGCCACCCCTCTCAACTTTCGCTTATAGCTGCGTCGGCAAATGAGATCGTCTCAGAAAGCACTGCTGAGACTTTTATTTCGGATGTGGGTATCATTTGCGTGCACCTTACTAAGTTTACTATGCAGTATGACGCTTATATTCCTCACACGTTTTAAAAAATATATAGCATAACATCATTGCCTTTTCCTCCGAACCACTTGACAACGCAAATCGCGCTATCTACCCTCGACCAATTGGCCTTCGTATTAGCCCTCCCGTAAGCACCGAATCTTCTAACCATGCTACCGTTAACCGAACCAAACATAAATCACGGTCTGCATTCTCCGAGGAGCGACGGAAGCAGGTACAGTTGGTTCGCAAGATGGGGGCATGTCTTCGGTGTCGGATGCTGAAGAAGACTGTAGGGATTCCTGCCCTTGCTGCTTTCATTGCTGACGTATTTTGTAGTGCTCTGCTGGTACACCATGTTCTCAATGCAAGAATCTTCAGAACCCACGTGTGTGGATGGAATGCTGCTTCCGAACTCGACTAATGACTCGATTGGAAGCATATTCAGTTGGTAAGTTTACTAAACCTCATTTGTCGCGATTAAGCTCTAAGTGACTACAGGCTTGCACTCTACTGTGGCTTATCACGACATCAACAATATTAGATCTCAGGTTCATTTTGAACACTCAGGAGGCCGTATCGAAGTAACCCATTTTGAGGGAGATCCTTCATTTGTTCTTACCTTTAATACGCTTTACGCTCAGAAACAAACAGTAGCTGAGCTAGGCTCACAGTTGTCTATTTCTAGTAATAATTCGGAGCCTGGAGCCCAGTCACAGGATGTCCATATATTAGACGGAGAGGTGGAAGAGCTGACTGGGAAGTTGGAAGCTTATATTAAGCGAGTTACAGACCAATTCTTCAAGGCAGAATCGTCAGAAATTATTAAACAGACACTAATAATGGCATCCGATCTTTGCAAAGCTAGCCAGGTAAGGATCACCTCTACCGCATCGCTGGGACCCCTATGATCCATTCCGTGGTTCTGTGACGCGCATATGATCACCATGATTTCCCTGCCAAATAATAAAGGATACCGTTACTGACGGTTAGAAAGGATGATCTTTTGGAGGGTGTACTTGAGCTCTGGGCCACCACGTCGGTCCTTGTTGGCCCACTCCTCCCATGGAAAATATTTCTAAACCCGACGCTGCCACCAACAGCAATTCAGCCTCTATCTTCCAGCTCAAGCGAATGGCGCATTCCAATCAGGAAAGAGGATGGACCTGAGTCATACTCGCTAATTTGCTCACAATTATGCGGTGCGGTGGAAAAAAGAGCGGCAAAAATTAGTAGAGCTGTTTTAAATAAGATTGAGCAGAGACTACTTCAAAGGCAGAGGGAAGGCAACTTTCGGACATTTTTAGCCTCCCTTATTCTATTAAATTGTGTTGAGAGAATGTCATGGTTATTTCACACGTGGCAGGGCGGAATATTGGCAAGAAGGGTAAGTGAACTTGCATCGGACCCGTCCATTAGCATTTCGTCGGTAAGTTAACATTATTTAGTGGCCTCTTGAACGTAGCCCTGCAGATTTCGCTGCCCAAGGTGACAGGTTCTCAAACATCATTGCAACACATTTAAAAATGCGATCCCTCGCCCCGGCTTTTCTCATTGAACCTGGTACGGGTGTTTTGATAGGAAGTGATGTAAACGAGGACACTGCAAGTCGATGGTTCGATACTGTCAGGATTAGTCGTATGTGAGCCACTTTTCTATTTCTACTACTACCACAAAATTAATTTATTTTCACAGAATCGTATCTTCTTGCACGTCAAGCAGCAAGCTTGGACATAACTGACTGGCGATCTCTTGATTTCAAATACTGCTCCTCACTAATCCTCTCTACCGAAAATGCAAGGTTCCCAGTTTAGATTGAGGAAAATGTGCAAGCGCATGATTACGAACATGTCGCGAGTTAAATTATCGAAGGATGTATTTATGAGTAGAGCCCACCTAGGTAACTATTTGATTTGCTGCTCCCAACCACATGCTCCCAATCATACCACGCGCCCTTATATGGACGCTGGCCCACCCAACATACATTTTTGGTAGAGTCTCTACTCTCTACCAAATATTTAATATAAAACCAGATGTCATTTTTTATATTAACTTGGCAGTATAGTAAATTAGAACACTCTTCATCTTTTGATTCTCTCATCTCAATTACATCAAATGTCACATGTGCTTTCAAGATTCTTTAGTGCAAATTTAATGTTTTTACTTGCACTATAAAGTTCTAATTCTTCATGAAGTTGAAAGTCTGAAAGTTGATTTCTAAAGTTCTAAATTCAGAACTAGGCTGACTGTGGGGATGGGGATTTCCCAACTGAAATCCTGTCTCTAATGCACTAATGGGAAATTGGGATGGAACTAGAACTTGATGATTTAAACTGAAATGAGACTGGGACTTGAGTTTCAAGTACTAAGATGGAAATGAAACTTAATTTAAAGAGATTAAGATTATTTAATTAGAGATAGAGATTCTCAATTTCCCTAAACTTAAAATAAAATCTTATTTTATACTATTTTTAGTATCAAAATCATATACAAATGTATATATGCATTCTGACTTAATGTGCCAATTTTTCTATTTTGTCATATTTTGATGTAAAAATACACTTTCAAAATAAAGTTTAAAAAAAAATTAAAGTTGTTTTAGAGATAGAGAAATCTAGAGATGAGACTTAAAATATAAAATTTGAAACTGAAAAGAGAATGAGACTTGTATTCATGTTGTAAACTAAGATTGAAACTAACTTTTGAATTTTGAGAAGAGATTGAGATCAACTCAATTGAGATTGACATTCAGTCTTGTCTCATTGAAATCTCAAAGAGATCTCAATGGTCAGTCTACTTGAAACTTAAGTCTCAGTTTCATCTCAGTTTGAATTATTAAGTTTCAGTTCCATCTCAATTTCCCATTAGTGCATTAGTGCATTAGAGATGAGATCTCAGTTGGAAAATCTCTGTTTCTACAGTCAGTCTAAGTTTAAATATTAAAAATAAAGTTCTGAACTGAGTGTGATTTTTAAAGATTTCTTTCAATATAATCTAGTTCTGTAACTACAAATTTTAAAGTTTCATCATTATTTCAATTACTGACATTTTAGATAGATTCTATATGTGATGAACTGTTAATAAAAATAAACTGTATAGTTCTGAATCTGATAGTTGATCTTATATTATGAAGACTTAATAACTGAGCTCTTCTTTAAAAAATTTAAGTTAAAGATTAGAACATTATGTAATTCTCTTTATTTATACTTTCTATTCATAGTTTATAATTTTTGCTGTAGTTTTTGAATTCTTTTCATGAGATGTATTTACTCTCTTAAGTTTTTAAAAGATTTGACATTTTCTGAAGATAGTTTCTCAATCCCATTTGTGCTTTTATTTGAATTTACTGTCACACTTAGTGTCTCAGCTATTTCTGATACTGAGAAAAGAGTTGAGAATTCAGTTTGATCTCAGATATTCTATCTAGGCTGACTGTTGGGATCTCTTTGGGATCCCAATGGGACAAGACTGAATGTTAATCCCAATTGAGTTGATCCCAATCTGTAAGGTGGCAGCCTATAAGATAGGTGCTAGAGAACAATGTATCAAGTCTACAGTGTAAGAAAGATAACTAAGTTGCACTTATAGTATCAAAGTAGTATTGCTATATGTGCAGTAAGAGAAGAACTCATTGCTGACCTTCTGTGAGAGAAGGCCAGTGTGGCTTTAAGTACTAGTGAGGTTAGAACTATGCTAACTAATAAGATACTAGCTCTTAGAGCAGATCTAGTCTACAGTGAGCATGATAATTATCTCTCTTTCTTGTAGACATTGTTCTCAAGATTCTAAAATGTAGCATAGTGATATAATTAGACATTAGATTGCACTATTGATGTTCTAATTTTGAAATATTAAAGCATATGATTAATAATTTGCAATAGTGTTGAATGTTGATGTGAGTGAAGTCTGCAGTGTTGCAGCATTAAGATATGATGTCAGTATTTTGTTGTACTGATGCTGATTGAGCATCAGCATTTTATTGCATCAATGTTGATTGAATAATTAGTGACACCACATCATCAGTATTAGTGTGAGCATTAGCATGGTTGATGATTGCATAGTCATCAGCATTAGTGTGATGCTAACACTTAGTGAATATCAATAACATCAGCACAGGAGCTTTTTCTTCTTCTTTCTTCACTTAAGCATCATCACATCATCACTGTCATCATGTCTCACTGCTTTTCTCACTGCACTGCCTCATCATTCATCATTCTTCACATTGTATGAGTACTGAATTGATCTGTTCATGTCACTTTGACATTCTTGTTGATGCTTAGCAGTGCAATGAGAGTTTTGCTTTTGCATGTTGTGAATTATTAATTCACAATATTATTGCACAGTAGCATTTACTACTGTTATTTTGATTTCACTAATGACTCTTGACTCATCTATGCTATTCATCATTAGCATTAATCTTTTGTGATATATCTGCTTTTGCTTTTGTTTATGTTCTTCACAGTGTTTTTGGCATCTTGATTTTTGAACTTATGTGAACATTCACTAATCAATTTTAATGTAGTTGCATTCCATGCTCTCACTGTCTCTCTCTGCTCATCAATTCTGATGACTCATGTGTTGTTATGTCTGAACATCATCATTGTAAAGTGTACTGGGGGGCACATCATTCATGTACCTCAGTAAGAATTCTATATCTTTTGCATGCATGAGAGTTTTTGATGATTGTTCATTGATGTATTTTCAGCACTAAGTTGTATCAACACTCTAGAATTTGTTAAGTTCCATGCACTTCTGATGTCTAGATTGTTTCATTTCTTGCTGACACAGACTTTAGATCATTGATTTGAAGAGTGAGCTCTGATGAATTTTCAATTTATGAGATCTGATCTACTATGCTGATAGATTAAACATGACTGTCTTCACTAAGTGTTCAGATCTCTGACATGAGATGCAACATCTGACCACTTCTGTCATAAGACAGCACAGTGAGTGTGCATGTGCAGCTGTTTTGATCAATATTGAAAGATGTTGAACTCATGAAGCTGCTGTCACAGTCAACATTAAATGTGAGACTGTCATCTGTGAATGAATTTCATTAGCAGCAAGAGTCTGTGTGTCTGTGCTGTCTCTGTCTGTGACTGCCCCCAGCACTTCTCTGTGTTTGCAGAGAAGTAGAGTCAGAGAAGAGAGAGAAGAGAGAAAGCAGATTGAATTAATGCAGACATGTTTGAAACATTATCTTACTTATTGTGCTCACTGTCTTGCTCACTAAGCTGCTCACATCATCACTGCTCACTGTGCTGCTCATCATGCTGTCCACATCATCATCTGTGATGAGTGGGAGATTTCTGACTCTCAGAAAGATTGAGTTTTGACTTGAAAAAGAGTTGTTTTTTGCATGCTTCAGCACTTTTTTCTGTATCTAGTTTCTTAAGTTCATGTAGTGGCCATCTTCAGACATTTAATCAATGAAGAAGTCTTCTGTTACACTTCTTTTTCTTTTCTTCATTAAATAACAAGAACAAAAGTCTTTGAAAGTTTCATTTTTCATATTTCTTACACAACATGAAGTACTTTCTTATGTTTTTTGCAGCAATTATGCTGTTTTTCTTCTCTGTCAGCACTTTTTTGAACATTCTTCTTCAGATGTTTCTTGTTGTTTAAAGAAGTCTAGTGCTTCTGTATTCTGAACATGTTTTTCTGATTTTCAGATGTCATTTTCTGATTCCCATTCTTTCTAACAGACTAAATATTCAATTTTGTTTTTGTGTATCTGTTTGTTCAGAATATCTTCTACTTGATATTTTTCATGACCATCCACCAGTTCTGAATCTGGTGGTGGTAATTTATTTTCCCTTTTATTGTATTTCTCTAGCATGGAAATATGAAATACTGGGTGAATACTTCTAAATAAGAGTGGTAATTGGAGCTTATAGAATTGTTTTCTCCATTTTTCAATGATTTCAAATGGTTCTATATACTTGTGGTCCAGTTTTTGGGCTGGATGAAGCATGCTTAAGTTTTTTGCATTGAGGAGTACTCATTCTTCTACATTGAATACTTATGATATGTACTTTGAATCATAATACTTTTTCTGCACTTCATGAGCAACATAAAGTGTTTTTTTAAGATGTTTGCACATCTTTTGCAATGACTCTGCCCTTTCTGTGGCTTTTGGAGCTGTGTGTTCCAATGATTTGTTCACATTTATATGTAATTCTGGTCTATACTCCATTAATGCAACTGCTGATATTTCCCCCATTGAACTATGTTTCAATTGATTGTATGTGTGTTGAGCCATAGATAGTCATTGCACTCAATCATTTTGGTGGTAATTAATAAATTCTTGTAAGTAATGTTTCAGAGTTTGATTTTGTCTTTCTGTTTGACCATCTGTTTGAGAATGGTAAGTGGTGCTTAATCTTTGTTTTGCACCAAAGTAGAAGCATAGAGTTGATCAATAGTTGCTTGTAAATAGAGATCTTCTGTCAGAAATCAAATTCTTGAATGTATCATAGATAGTAAAGATGTGCTCATAGCATAGTTCTGCTAAGTCTTCTGTGTTGATGTCTTTTCTACATGATAGATATAGGGTGAATTTTATATAGATGTCCACCACTACTAGAATGACATTAAAGATATTGTCTCTTCAATTGAAGAGAGATAACTCTGTGATGAAGTTCATTGAGATTGACTTCATGAATTGTGAAGACATTGAAATAGTTTCTAATTCCCCATATGTTTTATGTCTTCTGGGTTTGATTCTCTGACAGATATCACATGTCTTGACATAATCCACTACATTCTTGATAAGTTCATGCCAATAGTACTTATCTTGAATGGCTTCAATGAT